GGCCCGGTCCTGGGAGACCCCACGGAGTCGGCGGCCGGGCCCGGTTCCGGGGTGCCGGGGCCTGTGAGCCCTGACCCAGCCGGGGCGGCGGCTCTTTGGGGGCTGTCCGGTGCTTTGGGGGTGATCCGCCCCCCCAATTCCCCCGCCACGACGGGGCCCTGCCCCACGGAGACCGGCTTTGGGGTGTCCCGTGTGTCCTGCCCCCCAGGCTTTGGGGTGCCCCGTGGGGGGTGCTGGCTGTCCCCACGCCCGCCCGTCGCTGTCACGTCCTGGGGACCGGAATGACACATCGCCCGCGGACACCCCCACCACCCCCCGGCCCAGCGCCCGCCCCATATACCCCCCCGGGGAGCGGGGGCTCGGAGGTGCCCGAGCAGGAGGGGACGCCAGCCCCTAAGTCCCCGGTTTGGAGCTGGGGAGCGGCCCGAGCCGGGTCCCCACGGGATGGAGCCAGTCCTGGCCCCGGGGAGGGCTGCCAGCCCCGGGGGGCCCAATCCAGTGGCGTTTCTCAGGACGACCCACTTATTTATCTCCTGCCGGGGGGCAGGGAGCAGGAAGATGGGTACTTCCCCGTGTTCCCCCCCACCCGTGTCGCAAGATAAACACGTCCACACCCCGTGTGGGGCTTATCAGCTCTCGGCACATTGCCCGGTGCCGGGGTACAGCGGCTGGGTTGTGGTACAGACGAGCGTCCACCATCCCATGGGATGCTGCTGCTGTGGGGAAACTGAGGCAGGGCTGTGTGAGCCGGGTGCAGGGAGGAGAATAGGGATAAAAGCCCTTGGTGAGTCCCATGGGTGCAGGTCCTGGGCCAGGAAAAGGTGTCATGGGATGGGGAGGGGTCTCAGGCTGGGTCTCACAGCTCTCTCCTCTTGCAGCACGTCAGCAGCAAGGAAGATGGTGAAGGAGACGGGATACTACGACCTGCTGGGCGTGCGGCCGGGAGCCAGCCTGGATGAGATCAAGAGAGCGTACCGGCGCTTGGCGCTGCGCTACCACCCTGACAAGAACCCCAGTGAGGGCGAGCGGGTAGGTGCAGCCCCCCCCCCCCCCGAACCCCCTCCCAGCTCACTTCCCCCTCATCTCACACGCTTTTCCCCCTCTTCCTCAGTTCAAGCAGATCTCCCAAGCCTATGAGGTGCTGTCGGATGCCCACAAACGGGCGCTCTACGACCGCGGCGGGGAGCGGGCCATGAAGGAGGGTGGCCTGGGGAGCCGAGGAGGGAGTGGCGGATTCGGCTCCCCCATGGACATCTTCGACCTCTTCTTCGGCGGGGGAGTGCGGATGCGCGGCCGGGCAGACAGGCGAGGTACCGGGGCCAAAGGACCCACTGGGACCCTGGGTGCTGGGAGAGGACTGACGCCCAGGCGTGGCACGGTGGGCATCAGGATCCAGTTGGTGGCCCACGGGCCACCTCCCTCCCTGCGGTGCACAGCCTGACGCGGTTCCTCGTCATCCTCATTACTTTCTCCATCTACCCCTCTTCAAAGGGCCCTTCCCTGTCCCTGTCCCAGCTTTCCCCCGCTGTCCCCAGGGCTGGGGCTGAGTCAGCCTAGCGCTGCCCTTGGCTCCCCGTGAGCCCCGGGGGAGGCTGCAGCAAGACGCAGGGTGTGCAGGGCTGCTCTGGTGACTGTATGGATGCTTTTGGCCTGGGTCACAGTGAGAGGGTGACTTGCCATGGTGTTTGTTGCTGAAGTGGCACGATTTAATAGCAAGGCAATTACGAGGCTAAGGGGAGTGTCTCGGCAACCCCAGGTAGAGCCTCTCCAGCCAGGTTGAGGCAATGAGCAGCTGGAGGGTGGCCGGGTGGCGGAGGGCCTTGGGGTAGGAGCCATACTCGACCCACACTGGGGACACGGGGCTGTCCCGGGGCAGCTGGCAGGATCCGGGCTTGGAGACGCAAGGAGATCCCTGCTAGAGGCTCTTCTGAGCCCTTGCACCAAGCTCGGCTTAAAGTTGTTCCTGTCCTTGCCGCCGTCCCTGAGGATGAAGCGGGACTGGCTCTGGAGGGAAGCTGTCAGCCACTGCTCCCCGTGGAGAACCGGTGGTGCTGAGCCATGGCATCCGGCATCCATCTGGTCATGGCTCGGGGGGTTATGTGTGGCCGGGTGCTGATCTGGGCTCTCCCATCCGTCTGTCCAGGGAAGACGGTGGTGCACCAGCTCTCGGTGTCGCTGGAGGATCTCTACAATGGCACCACGCGCAAGCTGTCCCTGCAGAAGAACATCATCTGCAGGAAATGCGGAGGTGAGTGCCAGAGGGGCCAGGCTGCAGGGTGCCCAGGGATCCTTCCCAGCACCACAGCCTGGCTGCTGACCCCTCTGCCTCCCCTCGCCACAGGCTGCGGGGTGCGGGATGGTGCCCAGAGAAGGTGCCCCAAGTGTCACGGCTCAGGCATGGAGGTTCGCATCCACCAGCTGGGGCCCAGCATGATCCAGCAGATCCAGACAGTGTGTTCCCAGTGCCAGGGCCAGGGCGAGTGGATCCGGCCTCGGGACTGCTGCCTCACCTGCAATGGCCGCAAGGTCGTGCGGGAGAAGAAGATCCTCAGTGTTCACCTGGATAAAGGTGAGACGGGGTCGTGTTGGGGAGCGAGGTCACCCCCAAAATGGCCCCCATGCCCTGAGCTCTCCCTGCACACCCCGCAGGCATGAAGGACGGGCAGAAGATCACCTTCCACGAGGAAGGGGACCAGGTTCCCGGCCTGGAGCCTGGGGACATCATTATTGTCCTGGATCAGAAGGAACACCCCGTTTTCCGACGCAGCGGTGACGACCTCATCGTCAAGAGGGAGATCAGCCTGGCAGACGCCCTGTGCGGCTGCCGACAGGTCATCCGCACCCTGGACAACCGGACTCTGCTCATCTCCTCCCAGCCAGGTGGAGTGGGATGGGGTGGGGGGCTATGTGATACTCCCTACAAGGAGAAGGGGGGGTGCCAGGAGCTGCCAGGCGCAGTGAGGTGACACTGATCTCTGTCTCAGGTGATGTTATCCGACCTGGAGACCTGAAGTGTGTCCCCAACGAGGGGATGCCTGTCTACAGGAGCCCCTTCCAGAAGGGAAAACTCATCCTGCAATTCCAGGTGAGGAGCCATAGCCAGGCAGGAGCCGGTGTCCCCCATTGCCGCGGTCCCTGTGTGTCCATCCTGTGCCTCCATCTCCCCTCTCCGGTCACAGGTGAAGTTCCCAGAGCCTGGCTGGCTCCCCACTGACCGCCTGCGCCAGCTCCAGGCCTTCTTCCCGCCCCAGGAGGAGGTGATGGCCACCGAGGACACAGAGGAGGTAGAGCTCAGTGACTACACATCCCACAATGGGCCAGGCCGACGGCCCTACACCGGCGAAGCCTACCACGAAGATGACTTCGAGGATGGCGTGCGCCAACATGTCCAGTGCCAGACCTCGTAGCCAGGGGCAGAGGAGGCGGGGGCCGGAACCCCCCCCATGGGTGGCAGCTGGGCTTGTCCCATGGGATCGTGGGACAGGGCTGGGGCCGCTCAGCGGGGAAGGGGGCTCGGAGAGCCGTCACGTTCAGGGATGTACATAGGTCACCTTTCTGACAGCACTTAAAACCTCCCTTGCCCCCCCCGGGGAGCCAGGCACGGGGCTGCCCTGGTTTGGGGGACCCCCCCACGCCCTCCCGCCAAGGGAAGAGGCTGGGGGTGAAGCCCCTCTTTGACCTGCCGGTGAGAGGGAGCCAGATCCTCCATCTGGCTCCATCTCCCTGTCGATGGAGGAGCCGCTGGCCGTGGGCTGGGTGGCCGGATCCAGCTGTCAGCAGCCCAATGGGTGCATCCTCCACCGGGACAGCTCAGGCCTGGACTGAGGAGGAGGAGGGAGGCCTCGCCATCTGCCTCAGTTTCTCCATCTGATCTCTTGGGGCAAAGCCCCCGCAGGAACCAACTAGGGCAGGATGGAAACTGCCTGGCTCAGCCACTGTCCCCCACTGGGGTCCCTGCCACTGCCCCATGGCGCCGTCTGGCCCCACACTGTGAGGTGCCACTGCCTGGCCCCCCCCCGAGATCCCTTGCTTTGCCCGTTTCTTTCCTTGCTGGCGCTTGGGTCAGGCCTGGGGAGCGGAGGGGATTTCTATTTTCTCTTTGCACAGAACAAAAGGGGGTTGGGGGGGGACCCGTCCCTTTAATTTATTTTTGAAAGAATTTTAAAAATTTTTAAAATTTTTTTTTTTTTTTTTTTTTGGGGGGGGGGGGAGACTTTGTACATGGCATTAAAAGCAAATCCCGAGTCGGAGTGGCTGCATGTTCCTGCAGCGGGGCCATGCTCCCTATGGAGAGGCCAGCGGGGTGCGGGTGGTGACTCCTGCTCCCCGCTTTGATCTGCCGGGTGTGCCTCAGTTTCCCCAGCTTTGTACGACAGGGAGGTGACCCATGGGGCTTGGCCGGGGCCGGGAGCCAGGTCCTGCCCTCCTGGCCTGAGTTCTTCCCCCTTCGCCTCCTGCCCCAGGGGAGCTGGAGCCCTGGCTGCAGACCCCCCCCCTCACCTCATCTTGCCATCCCTGCCCCCGCTCACCCTGTTTCACCAGCCTGGGAACCCCTCATCCCAACCCCCCCCAAACCTCAGACCCTTTGCATCACCTCTGCAGCCCCACAGCCCCTCGCCCTGCCCCCTTCCATCACCCCCAGACCCCCCTCACCCCCTTATTACTCTCCCTGGACCCTTCACATCATCTCAGCATCTCTGGAGCCCCTCATGAAGGAGGCACATGCCCCCGCCCAAACAACCTCAGGCCCCCCTTTTCAGCCCTGCACTTGTTCCATGGGAGGGCACACAAGTGGGGGGGCTCCAGGCTGTGCTATGGGGCAGAGCCAGGCTACCAAGCAGGGGTGGGGGGATCCCCCCCTAAAAAGCACTGGGGGGTCAAGGTGCACCCCATAAAACACCCCACATCCCCCTTCACATGCAGCTGCCTGCTGAGCCCCCCTGCCCCATAATAGGATGGAGGTGAAACCCTGCAGCCCCTCGCCCATGGGGACACCCAGCTGGGGGGGGGGGGGAGCTGCAGCTGGACCCCCTGCTCCCTGCTGGAGCCCAGGAAAGCGTCTGGCGCCAGATGGGGCTGGAAGGGGGGAGAGGAGAGGGGAGGAGGAGGAGGAGGAGGCTGAGAACAATGCTGGCCGCCTGCCAGCCGTGGGGGAGCAGGGCGGGGGGCTCCCTCCCTGGCCCCCCCCCCGCCCCGTCCCATGGTCCCCAGCCTGGAGGACAGCGGGGTGCCCTGCCAGCAGAGTGAGCTGGGTGGGGGGCGGGGGGGAGGTGTGAACCCTCACGGGAGGTGGCAGTCACACACTCCCCCCAAAAAGGGCTGGCTGTCCCCTCCCAGAGCTGACAGCGGTTTTGGGGAGCCACCCAGCTTGCCCGGTTGCGGCATCGGCGTCCCCAGCTGCCCCGAGCCACAGGGACACCTGCGGGGTCGGGCACGTCACCCCACATCGGATGGGGACACCCCCCAAACGAGGGTCCCCTCGCAAGGCACCGTGTCCCCATGGATGGGGACCCACACCCGTGGGACCCTCAGCCAGTCTGCCCACGCCGCCGGCTCCGGGCAGGGCCAGGCCACCGCCGTGTGCTGGAGCCCGTCCGGGCATGCGGCCTCGGTGATTCACCGACGCGCCCTGCACGATGCCCTGGCTGTGCCCTGGCACCAGCACCGTGCCCCCAAGCCGAGCCTCTCGGCACAGCACCAGCATCGCCCAGGCCACGCAGCTGCAGAACCGGTGACCCACATGGAAACCCCCTTTCCTGGGACGGGACGGGGGGGGCTGAGGGGTGAAGACCCCCAAGCCTGGCACCTCCCCGGTTCGTTAGCCAGACCCCATTAACGAGCAGGTACTGGGGGGCGGGGGGGGCTTTGCTGGGAGGTCTGGCCGCCAGCCTGGACCACCTCCCCGAGACCATCCAGGGTAGGCACCGACTCAGGGAGCAGCCGGCCTGGAGGATGCGGGGGGGGTGGAGGGGGGGACCCCAGCCCCGGGGGGGGACACGACACACACATGGGATGGGACACACACAGCAGCTCGGCCCCCACTTGCAGCAGCGTTAGGGGTCAGGCCGGGCGGGGGGGGGACACAGCTTGGCTGGAGCCGTTTCAGCCCCTTAGCACCGTGGGGCTGGGGGCTGGGGGGGCGGTTACTCCTCCAGCTCAGCTAAGCTCCCTGTCCCCCCCGAAGCCGGGAGCCTCCCCCCAGCACCCAGCCCAGCGGAAGGGGATATTTCCCCCCAAACCTGCCCAACAAGTCCTGTCCCCCCCCACCCGCCCCGGGCAGGTATTCACCAAGGTGGGGACAAGAGCCAGCGTGTGTCCCCGCCCCCGCCACTTTGGGTGGCTCGAAGCCCCCCCTGCACCCTCCCAATGGCTCCAGCGGGGGGCCTAGGGCCCGGGGGGAGAATAAGATATAACCCTGGGGACCCCAAAGGGGCCACATCTCCCGCCCTGCTCACCCGCACCCGGCCGAGCCTTCGCTTCCAGAAAATCCACTAAAAATGCCGGGGCGAGGGGCCAGGGCCGCCCCCCCGCTACTCCGGGGTCGGGCATTCATTACCCACAGCACAAAGCGGGGCGGGGGGGCCGGGGCCCCGCTTTGTCTCCGGCAGATGAAAGGCGAGGGGCCAGCCTGGGCCCCCTCCCCAGCCTCCCTCCGGGGTGGGGGGGGCAGTAAGGCGAGCCGGGGGCCACCGAGGTCACTGGGAAGGATTAGTGCCGGATTAGAGGCGCCGGGGGGCACCCGAAACCACCCACACGGTCCCAGGGAGGGGGGCGGCACAGCCCAGCGCATCCCGCAAGGTTTTGGGGTCATTCGTGGTTCCTCCATCCTACCCCCCCCGTCCCCCGTCCCGCTCCCCCAGCAGCAGCAGGAGGAGGAATTTGCTTTTGTTTAAGGAGCAGCCGCCATCCAACGCCCAGTGCCGGCCGCCAAGTCTCGGCATGGGGTGGCCGTGCACCAGGGAGGGGGCACATCCAGCCCCTTCACCCCCACCTCCCCAGACTCCCCCCATCACTGTGGGGCAGCACCTATGGAGCAAGATGGGGACCCCCAGGTCCCCAGTGGGCCCCCCCCAGGTCCCCACTGGGCCCAGCGTGGCTGGATACTGCGGGGGGGGATGGGGATGTGTGTGCACGCAGCTGGCAGCCCTATAGACCCCCCCCCTCACATCCAGATTTGCCGCCCTGGTTCTCTCAGGGTACGAGGGCCCCCTTTGTACCCCACCCCGCCAACCCGGGGGCTCGGAAGAAAGACAAATTGGAGCCGTCCCCAGGGCGGCCGGGGAGAAAGAGGATATTTCTCCGAAGGGGAGAAGCCAGAGAGTCGGAGTTGGGGGGGGGTGGGGAGCGGCTGGTTTCCATTACCGGCTGATCCCGCCTGGTTGTGGCTTTTGCGAGATCTCTGGGGAGAAAAACGGTCGGTCTGGTGAAGAACGGAGAGGGCTGGATCCAGCGTCCACCCCACCCACTGGCACCGGTCCCACCGGTGATGCCAACTGGTCCCAGTTATGGCGCGGGATGTTGGGAGAACTGCGGCCCAGGCAGTGTTTTGGGAATGGCGACGGGGGCAATGGGAGTCTGCCAAGTGTCCACCTGGAGATACCGGAGCCCTTCCTCCTCCTCCTCCTCCTCCTCCTCCCCCGGGAAGCTGTAATTACACCCCTCCTGCTGCTGAACTCACTCCCTGGCAGTGCAGCATCACACTCGGGGGCACTGGGGGTGAAACCAACCCCAAATCCTGGCCCCCTTCCCCCTGTATCCCCCCCCAGGGGCCGCTTACTGCTGTCCCCTCCCCAGCCGGGGCAGGAATGGTGCTGGGTCCTGGGGAACAGTGTTCTACACCCTGCCCCATCTCCCCAAAGGCAGCCACAGGCACGCCCCGGCTCAGCAGGACCCCAGTGCTGGCGGGGGGCTGGGTCAGTGCCCCCCAACTACCCCATGGTGACTCTGGGGCTGCCCCAGCCGAGGGGTCCCAGCCCACCCTGGGGAGCAGCTTTGCCGAGGCTGGGGTGGGCATGGGGAGCGAGTACATCCCCCCATCCCCGGGGCAGGGCTCCCCTGCACCCCGAACCTCTCCAGCACCACCACGGGCTGAGCCCCAATGACCCACAAGCAGACACTTCCCCCCCCGCCATAATTAATGCCACCTCACATAGGGCAATTAGCAGGCAGCACCCCAATGAGCATCACCTGGAGCAGACCAGGGAGCCACACCCCTGCAGGCAGCACCCATGGGTGCCCCAGCTCCTCCAGCTAAGCTGGGAGGGTGTCTCATCCCCCCCCCCCCCGCGGGGGCCCCCCCCCCCCCCCCCCCCCACCCCCCCCCCCCCCCCGCGCCCC